AAAGATCAGAAACATAGAAAAAAGAAACACCGAGAAACGGCCAATCCCGCAAAAAAACTCTCCGTTTAGGAGGTTAACGGGAACGATCGTAACTTAATCCCCTGAACAAATATCAAGACGAAACATATATGATCGTACTCTGCTATATCTCAGCTTTCTGAAAACATATACATTGCCATAACTGCATGCTTAGTAACTGGTGAGGAAAGTCCTAAACTCCATTAAACTATAAATTATGTTTCCCCTCTCGCTACCTTAATTGAGGGTGGCGCTTATTTGCGGGTTTTTACGGTACTGTACAATTAGTGTACACAGTGAAATTATTGTGAAACTTGTCCTTGATATCAGATCTTACTACAACTTGATTTGATACACAAAGTAGGTACATGTATTAGATGAATCACAGAATCATCAATTATTCACAAAGCCAATCATCAAGTTGCACGTAGTTATGAATAAAATAAGGATTAGGAGCCATAAAATATACAAGTTTGTCTTTTGACATATTTTTTGCAAATTTAATGTTTTTAAGAATCTTGGCATAAAAATACAGTTACCTCAAGTGAAAACATTTTACATATAATTATTATTCCAATGTGCATGACCCAGTGGCTGAACAAATGTCAAAACAGCATAAATCATGATAAATCTAGTATAGGATTTCATTTGATAACACAAATATCAATTGAATTTCTTCACAGGGCATCCTTACAGTTATCACAAGACATCACTGAAAATGGCAAATTGCCTGAACACAAGACCATAAATAACATTGACATTTAACTAACATTTAACTAACTCAACTTTCTTTTATTAGTTTATTGCTGTAGACTAATAGGAAGATTGTATTTCTAAGGATGAAATAAAAATTATTATTATTATTATTGACTATAATGCTTTACTTGATCCACTGAAATCAAACACCACTAATTTGTAATAGCCATCATTGTTTAAAAATTGCATAAAATTCATATTCATTGTTTTGCAAATTATGACACATAAATCAATAGTCGCTAATAAACAAACAAGTTCATTATAAAATGCTGTTAGTCATACAGACACAGTAGCAGTAAGGAACAACGCAACGCGGCAGACAAGGAAAAATAGTCTTATACATAACCCCAAAAGGTCATACATCCCGCTAGTAATTTCTCATAGTACAAATTTCTCACCAATAAATATTTCCAAATAAATACAGTTGTCATTGAAGTTCAAAAACTGTTTTTAAACAAAAGCATAACTTGAGATATAATTTTGGAAATTATTGTTTTGTTATAGGATAAAAATACCCCCAGACAGACCTTTAAGGCCATGCATGAGGTTTAGTTAAAAGTGCATTTCCTGATGGACACTATGAACTGTATTAATTGTGTTAACAGAAACATGCACAGTAAAATTTTTAAAACAAGCAGTCTGTCAGCTGAGGTAGCTCCGCAAGTTAGCAATGCACATTTCAAATAAAGAACTGCAGATATCATTAGAAAATGAACAATATGTATAGTATCAAAGCAATCGGACAAAATGACAAAAATATTCACCAAAATTGGAGAATTGAAGATATCATCATGAAATGAAAAAAATCTGAGAGAGGTCCACATGTAGTACCTATATATGTAATATCAAAGCAATTGGACTGGCGGTTTTTAACAAGAAGTCAAAAATATCACTTTTCACCAAAAATGACAAAAACATTCACCAAAAATAGAGACTTTGAGATTTTGACATGAAATGAACAAATCTGAGAAAGAACCATTCAAGGTACTTGCATATCAAATTTGAAAACATTCTAACTTGCGGTTTCAAAGAAGAAGTTGAAATTGTAAAGTTGACGACAGCGGAGCTAAAAAAGCAAGAAGATGGTAGTAGTCATAGTTATTCGTAATTTTCAATATAACCAGACATTCCGAGCAATGGCCTTTCTTCAGTGTAATGAATAATGTGTTCTATTATGAGAGTACTTATACTTACACTAATGTTATTGATGAAGATATTACACTAAGGAAGGACATTGACCAGAGGGTCTGGTTATATTGAATAATCGCCAATGACTTATGATTACCTACTACCGTTTTTAATATATTACATACATACTAAACAGGGAATGCGTTAACCCCATATTTTGCTTCCTGGACTCCAATTATTGAAGAGAAACCCAGTGTTTCAGGCAAGCTGAGGTCCAATGTCTAATTAAGTTATCCAGGGTCAAATTTCAATTTCTTAGAATTTTGTAAGTGGGACTCATCTTGCCGAGACACTAGTGTAAACCCTGCTAAAGGTGTGAATAACAGCCATACACTGCTATAAACTTTGTCTTTATGGTGCCAATATAAGCAAATATTTTATTTTATTCTATTCTATTTTTTTTATTCAATAAATTTGTTTCACAGTAACACAATAAGGTCACTGCATGTTTAAATAAATAACAGAATTCTTCATTTTGCTACAACGCAGTATGTATATGAAAATTTTTTTTGAAATGTCACCTTATCTACCAAGTATAACTTGATATTAACAACAATGTATATTACTCTGTTAGGCAATAATTATGTGATTTCCCTTAATAGCCTACAATGCCAGAATTGATTGTTCAACTTAAATAATAACATTCCAATATTTGCCATACACGTATCAAATAGCCACCTAATGTCAATTGGAATAAATATGATATTAATGGTACAGGGCATTCACTGTAACAAAGGCACCACACTGCCGGAGGCATGGAGTTTTGAAGAAAATGCTTCAATAATCCAATAAGAGTGTGATTTGGTAAACAGCACGTCACAGATCATACTTTATATTTCAAATAGAAGGAAGAATTACAATATCAGTGAATTTAAACAGCAAGGTCATGTTTACGAAAAAAGGATATCGATATATTTTTTGTTATGCTTCCCAAAGCAAATTTTTTTTCAAAATCAAACATTATTTTCTTGTTATTTGTTTGAAATCAATCATTTTTTATGTACACAAAGTGATATCATCATGGGAGATGTCAGCACAACAATGCACAACAAGAGCTCCATTAAATTGAATTTTCTCACAAAACAAAAAAGCCATCAGAAATAGTAAATTTCCCAACATCTTTTTTTACAAGCACTGGTTGATTGTCTCTATCTGTAATAGTTACGGATATGATATATATGCATTTTTAATGAAGTTACATGACCAAATATAAACAAAAAATATATTTATCAGATCTAGTGTGTTATGGCTTCAATAAAGGACTGGTTTAATGTCTTTATCAGTAATAGTGCTCCAGATATGAAAATGTTACTACTACTCAAATAAGTTCCCGTTTTACAGTATCTGTAGAGTCTTTTAGCAGACAATGTGTTAACAGATCAATTCATTCAATGTTAGGTTACAGGTGCACATCATACGGTTTTCAAGATTCAGACAAAATGGCTGACTTTGTTTTGTACATGACCATGCCGATTCCTCACTAATACATTGCCTGAGTCAGTTGAAAGTTTGGCCTATACTCATAGATAATACCATAGGTTGTGTTGTTTTGTGATATTATCAAATGTCCAAAATGTTTCTTAGAGATTGTATTCAAATTTTGTTACATGCTCATGCAGACACTGTGAGGTGTGCACCGTGCCATATGACTGTTTTTTTATGGTATTCATCCAAGTTTATAATTACTACATTTTGACAGTATGTATTTTCAGTCATACTGCTTTGAAATTGACATATAGATGACACATGGAGCCCTTTTGGTAGACATGTACATGCAATGGACATTGTGATCAACTACCGGTATTCTCTAAGACAGACCGGAACGGAAACGAGACAAAAACAAAAGATTTTTCAAGTTAGCGTGGAGGAAATAACGTATTATCGTAATAAAGTATAAGGTAATAAAGTATTATTGTCAGGGAAAGCTATTGTTTAAGCTAGTCTGTGATTGGTTTCTGGCAATGTTTGGAGGATTTTGACGTAGGCTTGACTTAGAGAATATTTACAAAACGAGGATTACCAATTGTCAATATACTCACACAGCTCAAGAAAAGCAAAAAGTTCTAATGATAGTATATATCTATAAAAATATATATAGAGATGCATGATTTCTTCAACAGAAATATCTATTGTAAGAAATTATTTTTCACTAGTATTGAGGTGATTGTTTACTTATTAACATGTATTCAGCGTTTTAGTTGTGGTGCCTCAATACACTGTCACCATAAAGCATAACCCCTGTTACGACAAATGGTGGTCACGACCTAAAGTTATGAAGGGAAGTTTATATAACGGGAAATTATTATTGTTAAAACACTTTTTAAATAAAACTGGGCATTAATGAAAAAAATGTTTCCGTGTCAATAACAGTTATTCCCTGCATCCGGCGGTAGCGGGGTCCATGCTCTACAGGGATTATTTGCATGATATTAGCATATTTCATAAAAACATGAAGACGAACCACAAAACTATTGCAAATGATTTCTACTAAAATTAATAAATGCCAACTGATTATGAGGTTTCACATAAATTTAGGACGATTACAGCGGTCGATACGATGCACAAAATTCGAAATGCGACACAAAAACGTGAAAACGAGCAAACAATTACACCAGACGAAGTGAACTTCGCGTCTTTGCCTGAACTTCCATATCAAAACCTCATACGCATCAAGGTTTACAGACTCAAAAAAAAAACATTCTGCGCAACATGCGCAACCCCAAATTTGACGAAACAGCATAGGAAATACCCCTTATAAAAGGAATTTTTACCTTGTACGGATTGCGAGACAGTTTGTGGTTTGCTTGACGCAGTATTTTGTTAATAGCTCTCTGTTTTGACCAACGTCAACACAGCTGCGAACCAAAATACAGGAATGACGTCACAGGGGTTATACAAATGCATTGTGGGTAGTTTAACATACAAGCAGTTCTTCGGGACGTATCGGATAACACACAATATGAAAGATCATTAGCATTTCAGAACCCGGAATTTCACGCATTGTACTTGAATACGACTACATACTCACGCGTTTTACGAGATTTTGCAAAGCTTGTTGACACTGGTCGTGGCTCACAACTTAATTGGAAAACACTTTTTGAGGTTGCCTGTCAGTATAAAGTAAAATAAACAATACTAATAATTTAATAACATGTCAAAGACTTCTGCCCTTTACAATTTAGAAAAAGTGTATTATACGTTTATTGAAACTCGAAATTAATTTTGTTCCATTACCTAACAGCACAAAGCTAAAAACAAATAATTACTGAAATTCAGTAATTATTTGTTTTTAGTATAAGATAACTTGAAGATAAGATAATTCTTTATTACAACCATATTGAAAGAAATTCAATTTAGGTGAATACAAATGTAATAAAGGTATAACAAACTATTCTAAAAAACTAAAACTATACTTATCATAAAGATACAGTAAAGAAATATTACTGGTACTTGAAGATAAAAATTAAAATATATTACATTTCCATGAGTTTTTGTTTAACATTGATAATAATGTTTTCTTTTCGTATATGCTGTTTTATGTATTCAATTAATTCCTTTATCAATGGTCTGTTCTCAGCATTTAAGATGTAAACAAGTTATTTGCTTGACCACAATTTTTAATTGATTCTGAAAATTTTGTGTATAATCTTACTCTGGCCTCAATACATGATGTGAAAAAGTGTAGCTCATCTTCAGTAATATTACATTTTGCACATTTTCTATAAATTTTTATTTTTGGTTTTTGGTGTCTTCCAGATTCAATGATTAGTTTATGTGCACTTAGTCTTAGTCTTATATATACATGTACATACATATACACTTTCCAAGTTGAAATATACACTTTCAAAGTTGAAATATACACTTTCAAAGTTGAAATACACACTTTCAAAGTTGAAATATACACTTTCAAAGTTGAAATACACACTTTCAAAGTTGAAATACACATTTTCAAAGTTGAAATATACACTTTCAAAGTTGAAATACACACTTTCAAAGTTTAAATACACACTTTCAAAGTTGAAATACACACTTTCAAAGTTGAAATATACACTTTCAAAGTTGAAATATACACTTTCAAAGTTGAAATATACACTTTCAAAGTTGAAATATACACTTTCAAAGTTGAAATACACACTTTCAAAGTTGAAATATACACTTTCAAAGTTGAAGTATACACTTTCAAAGTTGAAATACACACCTTCAAAGTTGAAATATACACTTTCAAAGTTGAAATACACACTTTCAAAGTTGAAGTATACACTTTCAAAGTTGAAATATACACTTTCAAAGTTGAAATACACACTTTCAAAGTTGAAATATACACTTCTAAAGTTGAAATATACACTTTCAAAGTTTAAATAAATATGTAAATATTTATTTCACGGAGAAACTTAAAGGGGAACCTTCCAAACCCAGAGATTGCACCAAAGAATCATGAGACACTATTGTTTATGTTGTTTACAATGTTAATCTATCTTTTGTTATCCATTGTAATTTTAATCCAAAAAGTAAATTTGTTGTGAGATTAGACTTAACTGGAGGTACCCTTCTAATTAGCGTGGTGTTACTGTCTCGTAAGTGAAATAACGGAGAATGCACTACCATCAGTGTATTCCAAGTTCTCTTTGTGGTGCGAATTGGTGTGAATGCCTTAAAGCGCGGTGGTCGTCGCGCAGCGCGTGTTCGAATTTCATGTAAATAAACATGAATGTATTTTACACGCGTTGTATACGTCGCTATGAGTCCCATATCGAACAGGACGCGGCCCTGCGACTGCCGCCCTTTAATGTTGATTAATTTAGGCAAATTTGTATACCAAGACCACAGGCGGCAGCACGAAACTTTGCATGGAGGGGCAATATCTGCTCACTAATCTTGCGCCGATGGCGCGACCCCACATGCTCCCCCTTAAAAATTTAGAAATCTAGACCTTCTGAAACGCTATTTCCTGCATTTTGAGCGTCAAATTTTGATGATACAAAGGGTTTCAGTGCCGCCGCCACTCAAGGCTTCTTAATGAGAGAAAACTGTATTAAAAAAAAATACCAGCTGCCCTATAATTCAAAAATACATATATAGAATTAAAACGTTAAGCATTATATATATGTTTAAAACCGAAAAAAAAAAACGAATACAGGAACAAATACGTATTTACATTAAGTATATTGATAAAAATAATCTGTAGAACATTTATCAAGAATTGCCACAACCACGGACCTACTACTAATGCTATTATAAAAGACCCACAACATAAAACAACGCACATACCAAATGAAATAATCATGGGAAACATAAACAATAGACGTAGTATGTCTTTTATTTCTGTATTTTTAAAATTTTATTTATAATAAATAACGAACACATTAAACAATAACGAACTCGATAACATCTTTGCTTCTCCCCCGTTGAGCAATCACACTATTTCCAACGAAGCAAATAGACGAGCATGCTGGCATAGTAAGAGAGATTGGTTTATTCTGCCAAGTCTTTGATTCTATCAAGTGTATTTCGACAATTCATATATTTAATGCTACACTCTTCTGGATTATTGCAACACAATAAATAATACACGCCGATCTATTAGTTTATAAAGAATCACAAGACATGAATAAAATATTTTGCAAATGTAAAAGTAAAAAATATAAACCATTCAATTTATATTATTCAGAAATAAGACACACTTTTATAACACTCCCTTATATTACTTGGCTTTTGATAACTTCTCGGGGTCGTTATACATAGATACATCCAATTCAGCGGACCTCAAAAAGATAGCATTTTCACTCAAAATATAATGATCTAAATTAAGGTAGGTCTGATCAGACACAATCAGAATGTGTGAAAAGACACATCTGGTTTCAAATTGAATATTCAATAATTCTCGTCTTCAATTTCATGGGATTAGTCTGATGTGAACAATATGCGTGCGATCAATTCAATTTCTCTGGATGTGTAATCACATTGATGTGACCAGAATAGGACAGCTATAAATCACTTCTACTTGAATATTCATTATACAAACTAATATCATTTTGTGGAATGAAATGTATCATGACTGGAGTTAGTATTATGACCTGGTTAGTCCACCGTCCTTCAACACGGGACAGTGGTTAGTCACATAGTTAGCGTACGCTCGGTTATCATCTGCCGCCAAATATGCTAATTCTACCCAAAGAGGTCGTATATTCGCTGCCCTCGCTTGCCGTTTATAATCTCTAATTATGGGTGACACTTCAACACAGCACAAAATGTAATAAATACCCTATTATAGTAATATGTGATTGCATGTAAACCATTTTGGAAAATACTGTCGGAAGATTATATTTTTGTCAACGACATTGCAACTTTACAAGCAGTTTAAACAAGTACAGTTATAACGGATGGACACAACAAAACAAAACGCGGAAAATTTATGAGCCCTACAATGTTTCCATGGAAACATTCATATAATCCATCTTTTAAATCCTATATGAACACAAAAAGTATGTAAAAGTAGTTGAAATCTTTAGAAAGCTTTGACGTTTACAATAAATGAATACAATGAAATATAATAAATAATTATTCACAAATTCTGAAATAGAAAAACGTGAAGTGAAATTAAATATTGTTATTTACATATTATACCCTGTTGTGTAATGGTAGAATCCTATCTTTAACGATGACAATTTGTTAATCAGCTATCTATGTAATCGAATCAGGCATGTCAGATATAGTAGTACGTTCTGAACGGCGTTTTCGAAAACAATACAGCCACTAATCGACCATTTCCAAAGGAATCCATGTAATGTAAAGACGTGCAACAAGTTCCCATGATTTTCGAATCAATGCATGTGCCAAGTTTGAATGAAATCTTTCCTGGCATAACCAGAATACAGATTTGGAATCGCATAAATTTTACTGCTGATAAGTCTCACCTTCGATCCCAATAAACCTCCCTGGGCTACCTTGCACCTCTGAATAAGTCTCAGGTTTGGCTCCATACGCCTTCCTCGACCACATTTCATATATGCATATGTATATATGTGGTTTAGCTCCTGTCCTGTGGGCTAACACTGCATCTATGGGTAAGTCTCAGGTTTAGCTCCAGTCAATTTCATGGGCCATCTTGTTCCTTTGGATACGTTCAGGTCGAGATAAAGATGCCTTCTCAGGCCACCTTGCACATCTTGGTAAGACTCAGGTTTAGCTACAGTCACCTTCATGGGCCATCTTGTTCCTTTGGATACGTTCAGATCGAGCTATAGATGCTTTCTCAAGGCACATTGCACATCTTGGTAAATCTCAGCCGTAGCTCCAGTCACATGGGCCATCTTGTTCCTTTGGATGCGTTCAGGTCGAGCTATAGATGCCTTCTCAGGGCACATTGCACATCTCGGTAAGTCTCAGCTTTAGCTCAAGTCACATTCATTTGCCATCTTGTTCTTTTGGATACGTTCAGGTCGAGCTATAGATGCCTTCTCAGGCCACATTGCACATCTTGGTAAGACTCAGGTTTAGCTCCAGTCACCTTCATGGGGCACCTTGCATTTCTGATCAAGTTTCAGGTTTAGTTCCAGTAACCTTTGGTTAAATCTCAGGTTTAGACGTCTTCCCTAGGCCACAATGCACTTCTTGACAAGTCACAGTTTTAAATCTAGTCATCTTCCTGGGCCACCTTGTACCTTTAGGTAAGTTTCAAGTTTAGCTTCAGGTGCCTTCCTTGAATGATATGAGATGTTACTGACATACAGGGATTTACTCATGACCAAACTAGTTGGGCTCATTACTTGGCACACCAAAGACAATCAGACACAGATTGTCAAAAACATATTACTAATAGTTATTACTAATGTACAATTTGGTGAATTTTATAAGCAGTAAAAAGATTACTTGTAAAAACAAAGAAAAACAGATGGGTTTGTTCCTTCAAGAAGCTCCCTACAGTCACACATAGCAACAGTCATGGGCACCAAGGCAATTCATCTTAATTTTTGGATTACTTCCCAGGTCATTTGCATGTTTGGGTAATTTTGGGTTTAATCCAGACACCTTCCTTGATTGCAACAAGTTTGTTGTTGAACCAAGAACGAAATAACACAGGTAACAAGTAAACATTTCTATATGATCACCAGGTGAATGCATAGCCTGACATGTAGGTGTGAGTGGCGCCCTCACAGGCCAAACTGCATCAGACTCCACTAACGCCTGACAGAATAGTGTATGTAAAGTTTATGCAATGCAATGAGTGAATATTCATTTTGGTGGTCATGGTAACACTGTCAATCAAAGCTGTGTTTGCATTGTTGGCAAAAATCACCGTTTCCAAGAAGATAAACATTGGGCAGAAATAAACCCTGCCGTGAATAGTCACTATCTGATGTTCCTGAAATTTGATTGGTACCGACAAAAAATCACCAGGAGAAGTGAAAAACTACATCGTGTATGTGTGTTGGGTTTAGTTTTCTTTAAATGTGATGGTTATTACAAGGATACTGCATCATCATCCGATGCGCAGCAAAGGTTGATGTGATGGCGTACTGTCTGAGTGCAGTATCCTCATAATAACCTTACTATTATACATCTATTCCCCCCAGGAATACATCATGGGAATGCCGAAATCCAAATTAGATTAGCAAACTTCTTTGTGTGGGGTTCAATCAAACCCTGGGGGCAGCCATGTTTGTTATTGGGATGCCTACTGGTTTCATTTTTGGAATTCGAGTTTCCTTATATGGTAGGATGAAAATACCCAGTGCAATAACGCAAAATTAACGCTTTAACTTATGGCAATACGGTGACAGATTATAACAATGGGGATATCGCCACAGTCATGCATGAAGTAGCACTTGCCTTACCTGTTCACTTCACTAATGCTTGGTTCACATGCTCCTATGTAAATATAGAAGTTGCCCAACTTCCAGTCGATTTCAACCACTCTGTTGTAATTTTCAGGAAATTTTGTTATCTTAAAATTGTCTTTTCATCAACACGCTTCATCGATATCACCACAAACACTTATATTTTTTAATTCGCCAACTCGCCCATGTGTCAATCGAGTAGACAAGTCTATTTTGAACATTCACATCAGAAACTACTATATTAATTTATAGTAAACAAAGTGAATTATGAGAAAAACATAAAGAATGTCCATTGATTAGTGAATTTACATCTATTGAGCATCAAGGCATGTGTTTGCCTCGTAAAAGGACAATTTGAAGGTTATGAATTTGCTGAAAATTACGACAGAGTGGTTGAAATCTAAGACCAGGAGGTGGTATATGTATGTACTGTGCAAGAGCGTGTAAACAAAGTGTTAATGTTTCTGATATAAACATGCGCTGACACACTCATGACTCCTGACGCATGCTGCAGTGAGTCTGACATCATCACAAACCAGAGAAAACAACAGAACTCTATCTTTTCTTTCCACAAAATGTTTTTTTATTTCTTGACATATAGAAGACAATAAATAGAATTAAATCGTCCAAGCCTCTTTGGTCACAAAAACTATAACAGGCCTTGTACACGAGCGCTAAAGGTCAATCACCCTGGGTACTGTTGTTGCAATTTGAAGATCACCTTCAATGTTTGACATTTTTGGTTTTGAACTTTACTGTCAATAGCTTGAATTTTTAAAAAATTGAGAATTTCTCATGGAAAAATAGCAGCCCCCCCCCCCAAACACCAGGATGTCTGACCTTTATTATGCACAAGGCATATTAAAATATGATACATAAAGCCTGGTCAGGATACCATGATATCAAATACCCACAATGCAAATGAAGGTTATAATACCCACAATGCATTGAGACAAAAGCAGATTTCCAGTCATTTGGTGGGTTGTATGTTTTTAAATAATCTGAAAACAAAACACTCCCAGAGTGCATCATTCACCTGACATTAAATTATAGTCAAAATGGCAGTGTTTTGGAAACCTGACCAAACTGTGGCTGTAAAAAAAAAAAAAAAAAATTAAAAATCACAACCAAACCAGAAAGTATTGCACAAAATTGAATTACAAAGCATAACAAATCTGCAAGTGTAAAATATGTGGAACAACATAACACAGGACAAAGTTCACACTTGTTATGATAAAATACATTTACTTTAACATCGGAAAATGTTCATACAACCAATTTCTAAATCGCACCACATTCTCTCAAGTAATAATGTCCGTCTACAGTAACCTAAATCACTGCTATTTTCCTGTCAAAACTGTTCACCAATTTTCTTTTTCATTTTTTGCTGGATCCAAAATTGTAAACATTACACAACCTAATGATTTGAAAGCATGACTAAAAGCCAAACTGTACAAGTAGACTACAGACATTTCATAAATCCATTTCTTTCTATCTATCTATCTTGTAAAAACCATTCCCGAACATTTTTGTGCTTTCACTTGATACAAAATTACTATTTTTTGATCAGTACACAGTATATGGAATAATAAATAATATTTTTGTTTTGTCAATTCAAAAAATCATAATTCAGATGAATTATGGGTAATAAAATAAATAGAATCATTTAATGGGGTCCCTGGTATAAAATAATTTAAAAGTCATAAAAAAACAGCACAAAACATCAAAATAAATAAAGAATTATTTCCTTAGAGGTGAACATGCTACAAGCCAATATAGGGGGCTCCTAGCAACAGTTACCAGGTACTAGTTTCCTTAGGAGCATACCATTTAGACAAAGGGGTGAGTCAATATTAAATATTATAACAATTTCCACAAAACCTATCCATAAATACATTCAATATGTAACAAAACTTGATTGTGTTACCATGGTAATTTAAAATACACAACAAAATGTTCTCATGCCAAGTGAAACATACTTTTTTTTTTCAAATCCGGCGCAAAAGGTTGTTACAATTTATATAAAGCTAATGAACAACATTTCATTTTTTTTTAAAACCGCATGATTTTGTTATTGATTAATAAAATCATTGGCAGTGATCGATATTTGCACTGGTCCCATTTAATAAATAAATAATACAAAATATATTCAAACATTTTTTTTGAAATTACATACATGTACAGTACATTATTTCCAAATTAATTTATAGAAGAATTCTGCCTCTAGATGGCGCTATTTATCTAACATACCGTAAACATTTTTGCTGTTACAAATTTTAACTATGTTCATGAGAACAACATTCACTGAAAGTTATTGTGACTCCTTGTTTTAAGGTTCCTAGCGAATTATTCACTACTACAAGCTACAAGGCATCACGTTTTTTTTTGTTTTGTAAACCTGCAAAATTGTAGTGGTTTGCAGCACAACTTTAATTTCTGGTTACTCGCAATCTGTAAAAATTTAACAAAATATATTCCTAAGCGGAAACCATTAATCAGGGTAGTATCAGACACAGATGCAGTTAATAATCTCACAAGCTTTCAAATACAAGTTTGCAAGATTTGATTGTAAGATCAAGTCATGGCACACAGACTACCAATTCTTGCCAAAGGGCTCTGGGTTTCAATAATTATAGTCTGGGAGAAATTTTACAAAATATTAGTAAATTCATTTTGTATTCATTTTTCTGCACAGCTCCAAAAATATTACCACCAAACAGGAAAATTTTAAAACTGGTAGCCTAGCAGAAATTTTGTTAATTTTGAGCCCTGGTTTGTCAGATTAAAAGTATTCATTCGATTCAGCGTTGATCACAATTATTTTTACTTCTAGATTTATACATTACTACAATATATCTTATTTTGCTGGTCAATACACGGGGAACAAATAATGGTCTATAATGTGAGTGCAGTCAAAGTGACCTATAAGACTGTCTGATTGGTCACTCAACCCTAACAACTGACAGTTAAGCCAATCAGAAAGCAGCTTATTTGATAACAAGTTCTTTCAACAAATCAAACCATGTCATGTATGAATGAATTCATATTTTCAAAATTTGCTGTTCGTGGTTTAAATGCTGTTTGCAGTTTTCCCATGATGCAATGCAAAAAGTGAACACCTTCCAAAATACTGTGAATGAGGGGAGGAAAAAAAAAGATTTTTTCTGATCAGCAACTATTTCTTTCTAGTTTTTGTCAAACTGACAGAAAAAAGGAAAAAAAAAACCATAAGAAACAATGCCAGATCAGAAACGCATCTTTTTTTTTTAGCCTGTTAGATTTTTTTTTGCCTTGGGGAGTGAGAATGAAACACAGATGAAGTAGAAAATAGTAAATTCTTGATTGTAAGTTTCAACACCTAAACAAAAACAGCACAAATAACAAATAAATCAGCAGTATATATAACCGACCTATCACCACCAAACTAATGGCTATATTTGGCAACATTTTTAATACAAAAGCTTCAAGAGTTTAATTTTAACTGGGAGTTAGAAAAAATGTGACTGATTCGAATCCAGCTTCGACAACACAACACCTCACAATGTTACAAGCAATGGCGGTATGTCAACGTCAGAGAGAGCGGTCTTGATAGCATTAAACAAGACACTATTTTCTGCCGAGTAGTTATCGAGGCACAAACTCTTCAACATGGAAATATAGTTTTCAAAGTTCTCATCAGATGGCGTCTCCTCGGTTACCGGCAATTTAACATCAGATAATTGCTCGATTAGAGATTTCTTCAGTCCCAATAAATATTCGTCTAAGACACAAGTCTTATCTTCAATAGTCTTACTTTCTTTTTCAGTGAAACGTAGTTGGTTTTCCATGCCTGTGATCTGTGTTCGTAGTTTTATCATCTGTGATTCCATCAACGAATTGTGATTTTGTAACTCAGCAATTTCCGATTCTAGAGCCTTAATGTCTTCGTCATTTTCGATACCTAAAAAAAGATGAAGAAAATCAATTTAATCAAATTTATTCAAAATCTTATAGAATCTATTCAAATGTTGCAAAATGTATTCAAATCTAACAGAATTTAAAACAAACAATGCAGTATATAATCAAATTTTGCAAACCCAGATTCAGATCTTACAGATTGTAATCAAACACCAAAAACTAGGCAAATTCTATTCAAATCAAACAGAATTTATTCAAATCTTACAAAATCTGAACAAGTGTTGCAGCATACAATCAAATTTTGCAAAGTCTAATAAAAAATATTGCAGAATTTATTCAAATCGTGGAGAATCTAAAGCGTGTATACAGTCTAACCAAATCTTATAGAATCTAATAAAATCAGTCGATACAATATTTGGCAAAAAATTCCAGACTCAAACCCAATTTGTGGAAAGCTGGAATGAGAAATAAAAGAAGAGCCTACCATTTACAGCTTTCCGAGTTATTGTACTCATTTCTTCACCATTCAACTTGGCTTTCTTCATAGCATTGGTGGCTCTAGGACACCCAGACAGACTTCGATGAGTTAGAAAACTACCATTGGAATGCCCAGATCCATCACAGCCTGGAGTAGGACATCTGTAAAATATTCGAAAGGACAATTAATTTCTACAACTGTGAGATATTTCTTTCCTCAACATCTCGACACAGACAACAGGACAAACATAGTATTTATACATGCAAATGAAATCCCAACACACTTTTTAATAGCAAGCAGATGGGTGATGTTTGCATGTAATATTCCAGCTACCTAGGTGATGTTTGCATGTAATATTCCAGCTACCTAGGTGATGTTTACATGTAAATTTCTAGCTGTCTAGGTGATGTTTGCATGTAATATTCCAGCTGTCTATGTAATGTTTACAGGTAAATTTCTAGCTGTCTAGGTGATGTTTGCATGTAATATTCCAGCTGTCTATGTAATGTTTACAGGTAACTTGTAGCTGTCTATGTGATGTTTACATGTAATATTCCAGCTGTCTAGGTGATGTTTACAAGTAAACTTGTAGCTGTCTAGGTGATGTTTACAGGTAACTTGTAGCTGTCTATGTGATGTTTACAGGTAACTTGTAGCTGTCTATGTGATGTTTACAGGTAAATTTTGAGCTGTCTAGGAGATGTTTACATGTAAACTTGTAGCTGTCTAGGTGATGTTTACATGTAATA